CCTTCCCCCCCCCCAAGCCGATGGGTTTCTGATTTAAACTTGTGAAGAGGCTACCCTGGCTGTTTGCTCAGGATATTCTTATTCAAGGGGTGTGTGCCCTGCCACCAACTAGTTTTAAGTTCCAGAGAACTCTGGACGTGGAAAATCCTATTTTAAAAAGGAATCCCTTAGAATAGTCCAAGCAGCAATATTCCTTGGCTTCATGGTGTGGGCGGTGGATGGCCCATTATGACATTTCATTCTGAAGCTTTAATTCTACGGTTCCTCTGCTCCTGTTCTTTCAGACCTGGCTCCCTTTCTCTGCAATTGCATAAATTGCATCTTGATCCTAAGGAAAGGGCGTCCCCCCTCTACAAGGAAGTTAAAAGGGCAGCGAGATTTCAGGGCTGCCTCTAAAATTGTTGTTAAGCCAGTAAGGCATCTGCTTTTCTAATCCACTTTAATGCATATTTTTTTCCTACTCAAACCTGGTTGGTGAGGCTCAACAAGATGAGCGGGTTAGGGTGGGAGGAACCCGGGGCCGGTTTATTCTCTTTTTAAAAAAAGAATAGCAATCAAAAAAAGGGTGTGGGTAACATGCCCTAGTTTCTGGTTTTTTCCCCCTCTTCCCTTAGGGCCTTATCTTGTCTGAAAAGGGTGTTGCAGGCAGATAGATGGGCGCTTTATTGGGAGTGGTGACCAGACATACGCTCATCTCTTGAGCTGGCCATGGAGGGGTGGGGGTGGGTGGGGGAAGGGCGTGGCTTCCCCATCATCTCTCCAAAAGCGGGGCTGTGCATCTCAGCCCTGGTTCGAACCATTGCCTTTTATGGTAATAACGTGGGACTGGAGCGCGGAGAACTTCCTTTGTCCCAAATCTGCAAGACGGCAGATGAGGCACCCTCTAGTGGCGGAGAGTGGGAAGTGTGAAGTGACAAAACAGGAAGCTGGGGAGGAAGTGAGCAAGGGTGGTCCCGCTTGGCGCACTCTGTCACTTGTTGCAGAAGGCGAAGCGGGCGCTCCTGGGCTGAGCTCCTGAATTCTGCAGGGTTTTTTTTTCACTCTTTCGTCTGTGTGTTCCCTCCCCTCCCCAGATCGCCATGGATGATGATATTGCTGCGCTCGTGGTGGACAATGGCTCCGGAATGTGCAAAGCTGGGTTTGCCGGGGATGATGCCCCTCGGGCCGTATTCCCTTCCATCGTTGGTCGCCCCAGACACCAGGTATGTACCGCTTGAGGATCGTGTATTTCTCTGGGTTCAAGACAGGAAACGCAGAGTCATTGCATTTCTCTGCCAAAGCACAGCTGGAAATGAGTGAGCAGGTGGTTGAGGCGCAAGCTAAGTCCAGATGTGACTCATTTTTGAGAACTTGTTTGAAACAGTCTTACAAGAGCTTTGATCCAAACCATTGGTTCGTCTATTCTACTGGGGTCTACTCTGAAATGAAAGGGTTCTCCCAAAGGATGGGGTTGCACAGAGATCTGAAAATGTTGAAGGAGCTGAAGCCTGCTATGCACAGGTGACCCCTTCCTTCTTCAGAAACGCTGGCTTCATGGACACTTCCTTGAGTTCAGAGTGATGAATTAACTTGCCACAAACATGGGTGGAGTAAAACAGCAACCTAAGAAAGCGAGTTAAAGTAATTGGCTGATGAAAAGCTTTCTTCAGGTGGGTGCTTTTAATAGGAACCCCTATGCTTTGTGCTAGGAAGTAAACCTTAGGAGCTCAGGGTTTGCACAGTACTTTCGGACTTTCCTATTTATCTAAAAAAGCAGCATGCAGACAAAATTACTGTCCCTGGGACCTCTCAGCATGGGTTTAAAAGGGCTTTTAGGGGAGTTTGGGTGATGTCAGCGACTGCGGTCTGTTTCCCACCCTGTTCTTGTGCCCTGTGTTCCTAATGCCTGCCTTCTCTTGCCCCCCCCCCTTCAGGGTGTGATGGTCGGTATGGGCCAGAAAGACAGCTACGTTGGGGACGAGGCACAGAGTAAAAGAGGCATCCTGACCTTGAAGTATCCTATTGAACACGGCATTGTCACCAACTGGGACGACATGGAGAAGATCTGGCACCACACCTTTTACAACGAGCTGAGAGTTGCGCCCGAAGAACACCCTGTGCTGCTCACGGAGGCTCCCCTGAACCCCAAAGCCAACAGAGAAAAGATGACACAGGTATCCGCCTAAGTCTTGCCTCGAACCCGCCTCCCTCCAAGCTGTGGGAAGGATGCCTATTGGTATTTTTCTCCTTTTGTTCACTTTTCTTCTCTCTCTTTTTTTTTTTTGCCCATCTCTACAGGGTTTTCCTTTCTGGTCTGAATCTCTCTTGCTGGATCTGGAAAGGTTTTTATCTGTTCTTTCCCAGATTGGCTTTTTTCCCCCCTTCTCTCTCTGATAACTGGCTAGCATCACATAAGCAGCTGATTTCTCTTTCAACTAACCTTGACTTGTGTTTTGAGTGACTTCCGTAACATTTTCTGCCTTGTGGAGTACTTTTTGAGAATGGGAAAGGGGTTCGCACTGCAAGCTGGGATAGGCCCACCTTAACCCTCAGGACCCTGCGGTGTTGCCTCCTATCTGACTAGCATGAGTTGGTCTTCAAGGGTTAAGTTTGTCCCCAGAGCATGACTAGAGTAGACTGCAGCCCACCAGATCTCTTCATTGTTTGGCTCTCTTTTTGACATTCCAGATCATGTTTGAAACTTTCAACACCCCAGCCATGTACGTCGCGATCCAGGCTGTGCTGTCCCTGTATGCCTCTGGCCGTACCACTGGTATAGTGATGGACTCCGGTGATGGTGTCACCCACACTGTGCCCATCTATGAAGGTTACGCTCTGCCCCACGCCATCCTCCGTCTAGATCTGGCTGGCCGTGATTTGACCGACTACCTCATGAAGATCTTGACCGAGAGAGGCTACGGCTTCACCACCACAGCAGAGAGAGAAATTGTGCGTGACATCAAGGAGAAGTTGTGCTACGTTGCACTGGACTTCGAGCAGGAGATGGCCACGGCTGCGTCCAGTTCCTCCCTGGAGAAGAGCTACGAACTCCCGGATGGACAGGTTATCACCATTGGCAACGAGAGGTTTAGGTGCCCAGAAGCCCTCTTCCAGCCGTCTTTCTTGGGTAAGTTAAACAAACAAACAAAAAACTTATTTCAGCCACCAAGTGGTGACTTAAAATAGATAAAGCTCACAATGGTCCTCAAGTTACTTTTGGAAACAAGTTGACTGGGGGGGTCTTCTTTCTGGCTTTGAAAGTGTTCAACTTGCTGTTTTCCAACAGGGATGGAATCCTGTGGTATCCATGAAACCACCTTCAACTCCATCATGAAGTGCGATGTGGATATCCGTAAAGACCTCTATGCCAACACTGTTCTGTCCGGTGGTACCACCATGTACCCAGGCATTGCTGACAGGATGCAGAAGGAGATCACCGCCCTGGCACCCAGCACAATGAAAATCAAGGTAAGCCTCCTCTTCTTGCTGGATAGCAAGAAACAGGTTCATGGCCTGCTGGTGAATGTATCCTTTTACAACTCTCTGTCTGGAGGGGAAGTGAGTTTTAGACTCGTAGAGTTTGGAGCATTTTAAGAGCCATCTCTTGAGATAAACCACTGAGTTTTGAGATGGGTGGTGTTGGACTCATCCAGTTGGTAGGCAGGCTGCACATTTGGGAAACTCTGGTTGTCTGGCTCTTTGGGACTAGCTGAGGATCCTCCATGGCCCAGTCTCTGCCACAAGAATCATCAGTAGTACTGGTGTGCAGTAGACAATGCAAGACTTAGAACCTTCTTGATGGTCCTTTGTCTAATCTAGTGATTCCCAACCTTGCGAGTCCCCAGATATTCTTAGACTAAAATTCTTAGAAGCCTTCACCACCAGCTGTGCTGGCCAGGATCTCTGGGAGTTGGTAGAGTCCAGGAACATCTGGGGACTCAAGGTTGGGAACAAGTAGCCTAATAATCTCTTTAGTCTTGCTTGTTAAGAGTCACAGGTAGGCTAGAATGTTGGTTCCCATAGTCCAAGACTCGCCCCCCGCAACAAAGGGGGGGGCTTGCTAGTCTAGTCTTGCTGTTTTGAGTTCTAACTCTCAACTCTTCTTCTGCAGATCATTGCCCCACCTGAGCGCAAATACTCTGTCTGGATTGGGGGCTCCATCCTGGCTTCTCTGTCCACCTTCCAGCAGATGTGGATCAGCAAGCAGGAATACGATGAATCCGGACCTTCCATCGTTCACCGCAAATGCTTCTAAAACAGGACTATTTACCACAATAACATTTTCTCTTTTTTTGACAAAAAAATACCCCATAACTGTGCGTAAAACAAGAGTTGAGATTGGCATGGCTTTATTTGCTTTTTTGGCGCTTGACTCAGGATATAAAAACTGGAACGGTGAAAGGTTGACAGCAGCAGTCTTTAAAAAATAATAATAATAAAAGTGTTGGAGTGAACACCCCCAAAAGTTCTACCCTGCATCTGAGGACTTTGATTGTACATTTGTGTTCTTTTTTTAAATAGTCATTCCAAATACCGTACAATGAATTGAGAGGAAGTTAAACCAGCCTCTATGAAGGCAACAGCCCAGCTCAAAAGAAGCAGAAAGCCTTTTCTGGTCTTTTGGGAAAATATTGCTTGCATGTAAATCATGTGATCCGACAAGTGTCTTTTCTGTATCTTGCGCCTTAAAACAAAAATACACTTGGTCCCTTTTCTGATCTCCCCACCTCCTCTGTTTTGGTCAAGCAAAAAATAATAATAATGGGCTGTATGTTTCTCTTCTTCCCAATCTAGATGTGAAGGCTTACAGTTTACCCCCTCCCCTAGGGGAATCCTTATGCAAAATTGGTGCCAGTATGTATACGGGATACAGTGGGGGTGAAACTGTACACTGACTTAAAAGAACGGTTCAAATAAAGATGCACACCATAGGCTTTGGCTTGTCTGGCTTTTTGTGTTACTTTTAGTCCCTTTTTTGTAAAGCCTTCAGGACATCTGGCATGTGTTCAGATTTGCATTTAAACCCCGAAAAATTCAAAGGTGGGCAGGCTGTCAACGAGGATCCTTTTGCGGCTGCTATAAACTCCATGTTCTCTAAAGTGAAATCAAATAACACATTGCTGGGGAGAAAGATGTCTCTCCTGATGGCGTACAAACCCCAGTGATGCTCACCGTTGATTATGCTGGCCAGGACTGACCAAAGAAGCGGTCTAAAAATAATCTTACTCCCCAACTGTAGAATTAAAAAATAGCAAAACCATCAGTTTCTCAGCAAGACTGCATTAATAATGGGTATAGGAAGTAAAATGGAAATGCCTCCCACACTCCACGTTTTTGCCAAAGCTAGCTCTTGGCACAAGGCAAAAAAGGTTACCACTGCTAGTTGTATGCCTTTATCAACAATCTATGCGGCTGGTGTTAAGAGGGAGGGGAGCTGCAGCCACACATCTGGTAACGTGAGGGTGGATTAGTTAAGGCTGTCTTGTACCTTGTATGAAGGCTGGATTAACGATCAAAAGCAAGACAAATGCAGAAGTAGATCTTTTTCAGTGTGACCTTTTGTTAATTACATCCTTTTCTACCGTAATTCACAAAAGCCCTTTGAAATAATTTGGCCCTTGAGGTGCCAACTCTGTGTTGTGTTTATTTCTGCTACACACGCAGAAATAGACCTCTTTGAAAACTGAATTTAGCTTAGACAACAAGCAAAACGTCGGACCTGGCGTTGTACACTTCGCTGCAGCAAGAAGGCAGTTTAAACGGTACTGCAGAAACGTCTTGATCCTGTTAAGACATTGCTTTGGTGGTTTTGTATTTATACACAAGCCTGTATTTGCAGATTCTTTAAAAGAATTCACACCACTACTCAAATCCTGGGTGGTAAAAATACCAGGAGACAGTTGATTTTTGAAAAGTCACTATCTGGGGGAGAGAAGGATTAAGTACTCAGCTTTTTCAGTCTGCTGTCCTTTCTGGTTTAGCTGGAGAGGTATACTTAAAGCCCATTAAGTGATGCATAGATTAAGTAGAGTGCTGTACAAAGATACTAATAAAGGCACAGCCCTGGTAGATTTCGGAAACGGAAGCAAGGCTGTGTTGTTAAATACAGTATTCAGCTTTATAACATTCCTTATGGTGATGGATTAGACTCAACAGTCTTGTTCCGGAAAGGAGCTGGACCAGATGCTTTGGAAATGGCATGGCCGTTAATGGCTTGGGCTTTGTTAAATTGTCCCTCGTACTTGCAATGCTTAAACGTTGAGGTTCCATTTGGTTAGAATCTCTAAACTAGGCACGAAATAGGAGAAGGGCTATGGATGATCCGTAGGAAAGCACCAGTTTTGTACATAGGAGGGCTAGAAGAATCGCACCAAATGCAAATCACATCCTGCCAGTGGTCCTGAATCTGGTGTACTTCCTGGATGGAGGATCCTGTGTAGGTGTTCAGCTCCCTGAGGTGTTTGCTGCCCTTTCTTGCTCTGTCACACTGCTCCTGATTAGGCCATGTGTTGTGCACAGCAGTCTTTTTGTATGGCTAGTTGTGGAAGAAGGGACAAGCTCTGATGGCTGCAACCTTTACGGGGATTGAAGGAGAGGTTTCCCAATAGGTAGCTGCTCACAAGGAGAGCCCTACATGCCTTTGCGGAGGCAGACAAAAATGTCCATATGGTCTAGAAGTAGGGAAGCTGTCCAGATGTTGGACGCCACCTTGGTCCTCAACCTAGTCTAACTATTGGGGATGGTGGACGCTGTAGTCCTCTAACAACACTGGACACCCGCAGAACGACAGGCGCTTCCTCCTCCTGCTGACTTGGTCCATCCACCAGGGAGGGGTCTGTCTGTCCATCCATCTGCCCCCCCGTGGAAAACCCACAAGTGAGATTTGGGAACGAGGAGCAGCCCAAGAAATTGTGCTGCCTGGAGTCATACATTGGATGGGCCTGAGGTATGACGTTCTGAGGCTCCCACAGTGGCAATGACTGAATAGGTTTGCACGGGGCCTTCGGTCAAATTCTCCTGCCCAAAAAAGCGTGCACAGCTTTCACACGATGCACTGGGTGAGATTTTGCGTTAATTTGTGGGAAGACAGGATCAATGCCACTCCTAAGATGGCGCCCGGAGAACTGGTGCAGCTATGACGAGGAAGCTACAGTTGAGGAGAAAACAGAAAATAGTATTGGCTCCTAAGAGCCACTGGAAAGGGCTTTTGACATTTTGGACCAGAAAGACGGGGAAACAACGGGCGGGGAAGGGAGAAAAGACAACTCCCTCCCCCCCTCAGGGCGCCGGTCATGCCACCCTCAAGATGGCGGAAGGCGTGCGCGCTTGGAAAGTCTGAGCGTGGGGCTCGAGAGGGGAGTCACTCCCAAGATGGCGGCGCTCCCACCTGCCTCTCCCAAAATGGCGGCTGAAGGGACGCGAGGCTGGGGAAGCGGAAAGGAGTCGAAAGACTGGCGAGGTCTGGGAGCGAAGTGGGCGGAAGTGATGTCAACAACGCGCCGGAAGTAGCGCGCTTGGTCCTGAACCGGCTGGAAGACAGCCGTGGGAGAGGAGCGGAAAGCGTCTCGCTGCGGACCATGGCCTCCCCCGGCGAGGTAAGCCTCTCCTTTTTGGTTGCCATGGCGACCAGGACCCCTTACTCTTCCCTTCCTTCCCCGGCTCTCTGTCCCCCCCACATCCCCCCTTCCTTTCCTTAGGTATCCTCCCGTGTGCATGGCAACGCTGCCCCCCCTCGCCTGCCCCGCTGCGCGTTGAACGTCTGAACCAGCTGGGTCACGCGTCAGGGCAAGCAGGATCGCGTGTCTGTCCCGGGCCTCGGGTGGAGAAGGACTTTCCCCACCACCCTTAACTCGGATTCATTTTCGGGCCCTCCTGATCCACCAGCTGGACCCCTGGGCGATTTAGGTAGTATTTGGCTGCAGAGCCAAGAGGCTGGGAGTTCGAATCTCCCACTGGTCCTCCCGGACAGGGGCTGGACTGGATGATCCACAGGGACCCTTCGAGCTGCGCAGTTCTAAGATCTTGTTGGACTGCAAGATCTTCAGCTCTAGCCAGCATCGCCGGTGGTGGCGCAGGAGAGGGGTTGCGCTCCTACCTCTGGAACAAGGTACAAGTTGCCTGTTATGGGGTTATTTTCTGTCAAGTCACATCCGACTTACAGCGAGCCGATCGGGGGGGGGGGTTTCACAACATGGAAGACCTTTAAGGAGTGGTTTGACCCAGGCCACCCATCCTCCAGTGAGTTTCCACAGCTGACTCGAACCCACATCTCTTGAGTCCTACCCTGTCTCCCCGAAAATAAGACCTAATTCCACAGCTGACTCGAACCCACATCCCTATCTCCCTGAAAATAAGACCTAACCTGAAAATAAGCCCTAGTAGGATTTTTCAGGATGCTCGTAATATAAACCCTACCCCAAAAATCAGCCCCAGTGAAGTGAAACCCTGCCCTCCACCATTGTGCAGCACCCAGAAGAAGATGACATGACTGTAAAATAAACCATCCCCTGAAAATAAGCCCTAATGTGTTTTTTGGAGCAAAAATTAATATAAGACCCTGTCTTATTTCTGGGGAAACACGGTCGTCTTGTGCTCTCTTCATTGTACCCCCATTACCCCCCCTCTTTTAATTGGAGGCGCCATGTGTGGAGGCAGGGGCAAGGGGCTCACCTACCTGTGCTTTTTTTCACCTGAGCTACATCCCTCTCAAATCCTGCTGCTTGAGATCCTTGAAGGGGATGTGCCCCCTCTGTGCCCATTGAACCATCACATAGCAGCAAGTTTTCTCATTACCACAACAAAGCTGAAACCCGTCTCTCCCTCATTTACACCCCTTTCATCTTGTTTCTAATGAATGATGCATCTGATTTTGCCTGCACCACCGTCCTCCTCAGTTGTTCTTGAATCCCCTCGGCCAGATCCCCGAGACTGGAAAAGTACCCAACCCATGCTGATGCGGCTCTTTTAAGAGTTTGCAATAACTCAGGATGGAATGACTTGGCACCATGTCATTCTTTTATTATTAGGTCCCAAAAGGAGCTTTTCCACATTCTGCTCCATCATCATCCCTAGCTTTGTATCATCTACTGGCTTCTTTTCCAGCTTGTACATCCTCCGCATTGTATTTTGTCGGAAAGACTCTTATATAAATGCCCTTCCATCATATACATACAGCGCCCTTTTGCTTCCTAGTTTTTGTTATTCGTACTGAAACAGACTTAATATGGCTACCTCTGAATATTCTAGTAAGACATTTTCTTTTTCTCTAGCGTTTTCCTTCCCCGTTCCTTCCCTTGCATTTCCAACCTCATTCTCTGTTTTGCATATTTCCATTTCTGGATAAATGAGGGCAAAGGATGAGAAAATGTCATGACCTGAAGCTTCTGTCCTTGTATTTTATTGGAAATGTTATTCACGTGCATATCTGGTTTCTCAGGCTTCATCTGATATTACCCTCACACTTTGGATCATATATATCATAAGGACTAAAACTGATCTTATGCTTTTAAGGTTTGTGGGAAGCTGAATTCTGCATCCAGTTTCACATTCTGTCTTCCATGGAAACATAATGTTCAGCATGTTTGAAAACACTGATTCCACAACTCTGGCTGTTGTAACTTTGATGTTTAATAAATATGTTTACTAAAAAGTACATCTTGTTGGTATAAGTGATGTTTATGGCTCAGTAAATCAGTTTGAGATTTTAGCTGTACTTGTTATGAATTTTGAAAGAATTAAGTTTGCAGCTAAAATCTATCTATTTATTCGATCTTGTTAGCCATGGATGTTGGTAATACTATGCAGCCTCAAGGACCTTAAGAGATAGAAATGATGTGGGTAATAAAAGGGAAAAACCCTCAGTCACAGTGCTCAAGCCGAGGCTAGCTCCATCTAGAGTAGACCCAGTGAAATAAAGGAGACATATTAGTCACTACATACACTCCATTATTTTCAGTTTTAACTCAAGATTATCTTTAAATTTGTTTGTTTGTTTGTTTGTTTAATCCTGTGAAAAGGAACAGGAAGCCATATGTTCCTGGATTCTTTTACACTTGAAGTGCAAATACTTAGCAGTACAAGGCATCCTTGAATGAAGACTAAAACAGAAGAAAGGGGGCTTCTGCCTTTCTAAAACAGGGGAAGTACCCTTCCACTTTGCCCCCCCCCCCAAAGGTCCCAGTAGGTCCCAGTAGAGAGATTCTTTTAGGCTCCGTCAAGCTTAAGCATGGAAATTTTCATTTGAAAATAATAATAATAATAATAATGGCAATGGTATTTGATATGCTGGATTTTGCATTGTTTTCTGTGCTGTGTGCGCATCTGAAATATCCCAGCCTTTCCTCCATGAGCGGTAGAGTCACAGAGAATCAAGGTGAACCATGGTGGCGTTCCGTGTATGTTCAGTTTGCACCTTTGGGTATACGATTGTTATTTGTTCGTTTATTAGTTATATTTACATCTTGCCTTTCTTCCAGTCCAGTGACCACATAGCGTTCCTTCCCTTCCTTGTCTCTCCTTGACGATGCTGGGAGTATGATGGGCCCAAAGTCACAGAGAGAGCTCTGTGGCTCAGTGGGGTGGAACACTTGGGTTGATGAGGATCGTAGGTGAAAAGGACAGTCACTGCCCACCCCAGCCTGTGCGGAGCACCAATGTAAATTTACAAGACCCGTTATTGATCTAAATTGATGAGGTCTTTGAGCCAGGCTGTCATTTTCTTAGTTGTGTTCCTTTTTCCCCTTTTGAGCTCTGTTTCTCTCCCTTTTTTCAGGAAGTGACAAGTGAGGCAGGCGGAGAGGAAAGCAACAGCATGAACTTAATGGAATTTTCGGATGAGATCCTTTTACACATCCTGAGATACACCCCCATCTCGGATCTCGTCCTCAACATCCGGAAGGTTTGCCGGAAGCTTTCTGTCCTGAGTCACGACAAAAGCCTCACCCATGCTGTGATCCTGCACAAGGACTATCAGGTGAGGAAGAGCCTGGAGGGAATCCTATTGGGGCGGAGCTGTGCGTTTTGGTGCTTGCTCTTTCATTCAGAGGTGTTTCTAGATGTTGGTTAGGGTCAGGGGAATGCAAGAAAATGTTGGGGTTTCAAGCAAGAAGTCATCCCCGTGAAGAATTTACTCAGAGGATGCCCTCACGTTGTTATTCTGGCCTTGAGAAAAGTTGGGTGACTGGCATGGTGCCGGAGGGGGAGGGAGAAGGCGTGGTATAGTCTGACATTTTTGGAGGCGGTCCTTCATGTTCCACTCACAAACTTTAGCTGGGAACTTCCTTTCTAAACAGGAAGCTGCATGGAGCTAGGCCTAGCTAAGGCCTAGTCCCATGCAGAACTAGGCCTTAGCTGGGATGCAAAGCCTTCCACCTTAGGCCTTTTTCCCAGGCTAGAGAGAGCCTCGTGATCACCGCTCACCTTGTCACCGGTGCTTGCAAGTTGTTATCCTATTTTCGGCCGGCTCATTTGGTATCCCAGGCTGAAGACGTGGGAGGGCATTTCTCTCTGCTTGAAAGGAGAATGTTTCAAACGAGGTCACTCAGGGGCACCCTCTCTCTTTTCCTTGAACGAAGGACCATCCAGGGCCAAGAGCCCTGTTTGAAGTTGTAGATTCTAAGCCACCGTGCAGGTCTTCAGGCTCGGACATGAGATGTGTGCAAAAGTCCCTGATGCTGCTGTGGACATTTGCGTGTGCCTATGTGTGCACGTTTTCCCATGTGGGGAAAGGCTGAGGTACTGCCTGAAGGCTCAAAGGACCCTTTGTAGGCCATATGGGTGGGAATCAAACCATCAACAAATGGCTGGATAGCTCAGGGGTTTTATGCATCTGGCTGCAGTGCCAGAGGTTGGGGGTTCGATTCCCCACTGCGCCTCCTTGACAGGGGCTGGACTCCAATGATCCATGGGGTCCCTTCCAGCTCTACAGTTCTAAAATGAGGATGATGATGGGTTGCAACTTCTGGAGTGCTCCCCCTCCAGTGTTTCTTCTAGCCAACCATGGAGAGATGTTGTTCCTTGAAGCTTCCAAGACAGTGATTTGTTTCTAAAACAGGACCTGGATCCTCCTTTAGAGCAGAAGAGAGACATTTTAAAAGCTTTTAAAATATTATTATTGTTATTATTGTTATTGTTATTATTGTTATTATTGTTGTTGTTATGATGATGATGTTGATGATGATGATGGAATGAACTTCAGCCACTTCAGGATCTGAAAATATGTGAAATACCTGCCCTTCCCAAAAGGGGACTGGATTTTAGTAAGTGCCCAGGGGCAAAATGAGCTCTGCCCACATCTGGACACCGGGGGCTTGCACACCGCTTGACCTGTCAGGTCGAGGGCTTCTCGCCGAGAAGTAGCCAGGAGTCATAAAACTCTCAAGCGCTTTCCTGTTGACCTCCTGCAGTTGTTTTTCATTGCTTGGCTGTTTCCAAACAGGTGGACAAAGATAAAGTGAAGCCACTCCTGAGAGAGATCGGCAAAGAGATTCACGAGCTGAACATGGCCGGCTGCTACTGGCTGCCTGGGGCTACCATCGACCAGGTGACCCGCTGCAAGAACCTGGTGAAACTGAACGTCTCTGGCTGCCACCTCACCTCCCTCCGCCTCTCCAAGATGCTCTCCGCGTTGCAGCATCTCCGCTCCCTGGCCATTGATGTCAACCCGGGGTTCGACGCCTCCCACTTGAGCAGCGAGTGCAAGGCCACCCTGAGCCGGGTGCTGGAGCTCAAGCAGACCCTTTACACCCCCTCCTACGGAGTGGTGCCCTGTTGCACCAGCCTCGAAAAACTCCTCCTGTACTTTGAGATCCTGGACCGGTCCCGGGAGGGTTTGATCATCTCTGGTCAGCTGATGGTGGGTGAGAGTAACGTCCCCCACTACCAGAACCTCCGGGTTTTCTACGCCAGGCTCGCTCCCGGCCCGGTCAATCAGGAGGTAGTAAGATTGTACTTGGCCGTGCTGAGCGATCGGACCCCGGAGAAACTCCACGCCTTCCTCATTTCCGCCCCCGGCGGCTTTGCCCAGAGCTGCGCCGTGAAAAACCTCTTGGACTCCATGGCCCGGAACGTGACCTTAGATGCCTTACAGCTTCCTCGGTCCTGGATGAACGGCTCCAGCCTCCTCCAGCTCTTGAGGTTCAGCAACCCCTTCTACTTCAGCTTCAGCCGCTGCAGCTTGTCGGGCAGCCAGTTGGTCCAGAGGGTCTTGAACGGCGGCAAAGACCTCCGCAGCCTGGTCAGCCTGAACCTAAGCGGCTGCGTCCACTGCCTCTCCCCGGATGCCCTGCTGCGGAAGGCGGAGGACGATATCGACCACGGCATCGTGGAAACCCTCGTGACCTCCTGCTGCAACCTGAGGCATCTGAACCTCTCGGGTGCCCACCACCACAGTTCGGAGGGGTTGGGCAAACATTTGTGCCAGCTTCTTGCCCGCCTGAAGGGCCTCCTGTCCCTAGCCTTGCCGGTTTGTGCGGTGGCTGACCTCTCTGCCTTAACAGTCGACAAGCCCTCCGTGCAGCCCGTGGTGAGCACCGCCTCCCAAGGTTTTGGGAAGAAAGTCCGGATCGGGGTGCAAAGCTGCTCCAGGAATCTCCTCGAGCCGGGGAATTCTAAACCCCACAGCTCTGTGTTTTGGACTCTCCTGGAAAGCCTCCCGTTTCTGGAGAGTTTGGAGCTGATCGGGTCCAGTTTCTCTTCGGCCATGCCCAGGAATGAACCGGCCATTCGGAACTCCCTGCCCCCTTGCGGGCGGGCCCAGCACGTGGGAGACCTGGAGGTGGCCGCCGTCAGCCAGCTGGCCTTCCTGCAGAGCCTCACCTTGGCCCAGTTGCCCAGTATCCTCAGCGGCTCCGGGCTGGTTAGCATCGGAGCCCAGTGCCAACGCCTGCGGACTCTCTCGCTGGCCAATTTGGGGGCGACGGGCAATGTCACGTACATGTCAGCCTTGATGGACATGCTGAAGCACTGCAGATGTTTGCGGGATCTCAGGTGAGGGTGGCCAGATGGGTCTTTGCCGTCACTTCCTCTTGTTTGGTCATTGCGGTAAGGAGGGGGCCAACGTCTGGATCTAAAGATGGGGCTGCTCTTGAGTCATCGGCTCATTCCCTTTGTGAAGTGCAGCTTTCCACCTTCCTGCCGCAGGGAGAAATCTCTGAAAGCTAGGGTTGCTTCTTAACAGAGGGGAGTGGGGCTGGTTCTTAGTTTTCGGCTGTGGATGTTGACAGAGCTGGGGAAAGTCAAGATTTTTATTTATTTATTTATTTATTGACATCATGAGTTCCAGAGTTTCTCAGCAAACACGATTGTCCCAGATGGGAAATTTCAGAATTTCTGGTCTTTAAAAACCAACCAACCACTCTCTTCTCCCTCTGGCTCTTGAAGTGGATCATGCCCTAAATCCAAAGTAGATCACTTCTCTAACAGTGGGGGTCACGACTATCCTTTTGCCTGTCAAGGCAAAAGAGGCAGGCTGCTTCGTGTTAGAGCCCTTGCTCTGCGTCATATAAGTTTCTGAGTTCCGTTTTGGACCTCTTGGTTAGGGTAGGGCGGCAATACAGTAGAAATTACTTTTGGCAGGGCTGGAATTTCTCAGAGGAAGCCTAGCCAAGGGAGTCAGTGTTATCTGAGGCACCCTGGGAGTTGTAGTTTCCCCCTGAAGTAACCTTCCCATTCTCTGCTGGAGTCTATAGGGGAGCTTTTCTGAAGCTGCCACTGAGATGACTCAGGACAGGAACCCCCCTTCCCCCCCATACAGGAAAAAGGAAAAAAAAGGATGCTGGGGGTGAAGTGTCCCTGTGTGCGATTAGGGATCACTCTTTTGTTTCTGAGAATGAAGCTTTTCTTAGTTGGAGAAGGAAAACTGGAAAAAAAATCAGGGTGAAAATAAATAAATAAATCAGTTATATCTTCTGACTATCATAAAGTAGCAGCATCACCTGCTGGCATGATCCATGTATTGCAAAATAGCTATCCTCCATTCCCCATGCTGGGTATATATACAGTGGTGCCTCGCTTAGCGATGTTAATTCGTTTCAAAAAAATTGTTGCTAAGTGATTTCATCGCTGAGTGAAACGCGGTTTCCCGTTGAAATGCATTGAAAACTGGATAATTCATTCCAATAGGAACGAATTGCCGTCCTTAAGCGACAATCGCCATAGGAAACATTGCTAAGCGAAACGCGGTTCCCCAATTGAAATGCATTGAAACCTATTCAATGCATCTCAATGGGGAAAAAATACAACAATAAATTAAAAAAGAGTCAGAACAAAGTCAAATTTGGTTAACAAAGGGTTTATTAAGTGCACTTTATGATTTCAAACATTTTAAACAGTAAACTTTAACTTTATAAATAACAAGAAAACATTTAAAAAACATCAAACATGAGGCTATTTAAACCATCGTTAAGCGAAACAGGGGACCCAAAATGTAATCGCTATGCGAAGCATGGTCCCAACCATCGGTAAGCGAAAATCGGCCATAGGGACCATCGTTAAACGAAGCGCAAAAACGCTCCGGAAAAGTCGTCGCTAAGCGATTTCGTCGTTAAACGAAGCAATCGCTAAGCGAGGCACCACTGTATATTGTTTGTAACCCACTGCCAGCTTTTAACAGCCTGACGCCTTCCTGATGTCTCAGCCTACAGATTCAGCTCGTTCCCAGCTCAGTGCCATTGATGGTCTGTGCCGGATAGGCAAAGGCTAGGGTTCTGCTCTTTTACAGACTTTAAAACCCTTCTTGGTGAGGAGATTGCTTTGTGTATGAAGCTCACCTTTGGCTACTGGCCGGCCTCTTTGATGGGTGATGGTTAAGACAGAGACATTTGTGCTGCACTCCACAAGATATAAGCCCTTCCTTCCTCCCCCATAATTTTTACTTCCTGGTTATTCTCCATTCCCATGATATAGGAGTGGGGGAATTCCTTGAGCAAGGAATTCCTCTTTGACTTTCCCTTCCTTCTGGGATGTCTGCAGAGTGAACAGAACCTAATCATTTAGACATTCGGCAGTTCCAAACTGTAGATAACTCCACCAGAGTTACCAGTATACTTACGTGCTGCTTCTTACAGTTCTGTGGCCCATAGATACTCTGTTAAGTTGTAGGTGGGGAGAATCCCCAGTAGATTTCTGCATCATGTCCAGGAGCCAGGTCTTTCTGAACCCAGGAAAATAGTTGTTAGAGCTTTGGAAAATTTACTGCTGTGAACAACAGCTGCCAGGAACCTCTGCTGAGTGGGGGAGTTCCACCGGTGCATCAACACCATGTTTCCAAGCTTGATTTTTTATATCATTTCTGTGACTGCAGAGTGTATATATCCCAGGCCTCGTCTTGAGTTGCCTTGTTAATAGTCCAGCATGGCAGCGCAGCATTGTGGGTGCAGAAAGGGAGTCCTGCCTTTTTTGTTGTGCAATCAGAAGTCACGACAAGGAGGAAGACATCGGAGAAAAATCACATCGTCCATGAAATGTCCCACATTTTGAATTGTGTTTTCCTTCTAGGGAGTTGTAAAAAACTCACCATTCAGCTGTCTTTCTAAGCTACTTCCTCTGCCATGATTACTTTGCTCATTTCAGTTGAAAACAGGCAAGGATCTTCTCAGAGGTTCTGCTGCCTCATACACCTCTCCTGAAAACAGGATCTCTTCCCCGCCGACTTTAGAAAATCACCCCATTTTCCTTGCAAAGCCCTCGAAGCATCATGCTTGACCCGTGCTTTTCCCTTGCAGACTAGAGCAACCGTACTTCAATGCCAACGCTCAGTTCTTCCAAGCCTTGAGCTACTGCTCCTCCCTGCAGCGCCTTTGCATCATCTCCCGGAGCGGGACCCTGCAGCCAGAGGCTGTGATGTCATTCATGGCCGCGTGTCTTGAGGTCATTATGTGTCACATGTTTACGGGGGAATCTCTCACCGTTTGTAGAAACCTCCAGCAGTCGCTGATACGAAGGTGAGTGGAAGCCGAACATATGACCAGTTTTTCCCCACATATTCTCTCCCCCTTACAGCATTAACACGAGTGACAGGGGTTTATAAAACCTAGGATAGGAATAAATGATGTCTGTATCCTTGGCTGTATCGTCATGGCTTGGACTGGCAGAACTTTCTCACCAGAGAAGTCTTGGTGGTGGGGAATGGCTGAATACTTTTCTCCCAGCTGGCATCAAGTGGGGTGGCCTAGGAACTCCCCCCCCTTCTGAATCCCTCTCAGATGGGGCTATGATGGCTGGTTTACTGTCTTCTGGTAGAGCTGGGCAACTGGCAGAAAATCAGCAAAGGTCTCCTGATTCCCAATGGTTCATTAGAAATGTTTTACATTTAAATTAGACAGAATTGCTGGCCTCATGATTAAGCAGCGAGGAGAGTACAGATACCAAGTGTGGTGGCTACAGTGACAGAGAATCAGGAGACCTGAGTTCAAATCCCTGCTTGACCATGGAAAAATCACGGCGGCGGGAGAGGGGAGGTGGAAATTGTGCAGCCACTTATCTCCCGTCGGTTGGAATCTCTGTTAGGGTCATTGTGTGTCCGTTTTGACGTGATGGATCTGGACGGAACAATGAAGAGCATAAACCAAGTGTTTGTTGGTTATCTTTTTAAAACATGCTCATGCTTTGAACTGCTTTCTTCTTTTTAAAAGATGTAAGGTTCTAGTCCTTAGGACAGTGCCAAAGCTTGAAATCGTGTTCGGGGAGCACAGTGGCTCAAATACCACCACAGGAGATCCTGTTCCCCAGATTTAATACCTATAGCGCTACAGTGGGGTCTTGACTTGATAACTTAATCCGTATTGGAAGGCGGTTCTGGTTGGAAAATCAGCCAAGAGATCTGTAGCCATGATAAGCTCTGTACTAATTTACCGAGCTAGAGTGTCTGTTTGGTGATATCTGAAAGCACAAGATGAAACCTTTTGGACTGGAAGATTTTATACAGGGTGGGCCAGCTGTTCGGCGAGTGTATTGGCCCTTCTAGTCCTGGGGGCTGCACTGCTGCTGATCTTTATTTTATTTATATATATTATTTAGGAAGGCTATAAACTGTATGTTTTGTCTGGACTGAAAACAGACCAGAGAGGGCCAAAAGCATAGCAACATTACCTATAGAGATCAAAAGACATAGACTTCCTAAATAAAAGGATATATGTATATATAGATATATTTAGATATAGATCTTTGGGCTTCCTAAATAAAAGATCTATATCAAAAGATCTATATATGTGTGTATCTTTTTATTTAGGAAGCCCATGTCTTCTGAGCTCTGATGGTAATTTTGCTATAGCTTTGGCATTCTCTGGTCTTTTTTTCAGTCCCAGGAAGACCTTTTTCAAAGATTTCCCCCCCCCTCCCGCTACCCTAAATTGAACTTTAGAAGTTTTCTACCAAACTGGCAGGGGTGAGTTACACGTAGGCTGTGCTTCGCTCAGTTTTGACTCGGCCAAAGAGCATGTTCTTTCCTTTATAGGGTTACAATGCAAAGATGTCTTTTCTCTGGACTTCTGGGAAACAATGGGGTGGTAGACAGGCTATGTAACAACAGTCCAGCTTGTTTATTGTTTGGGCTTTAAGTGTTTCCTTGCAACACACTTGCTCACCTTTGATAACTGCAGCCCCGGCGAGATGAAACCTTAAAAGGTCAAGAGATGCAGCGATACTAAAAGGAGAAACTTCTGGTTTCTTTTCTTGCGAAAACCAGGGAAACGTCATATGTTGTTTAACCTTCCAGGAGCTGAGTTTGGCCGCCGTTTGAATGTGCGGCATTTAGCACTTGATAAGGTGGTTCTGTGCTTTACGGTTTCACCAATGCATAAAGCTGCTGTTTTAAGGAATTATGGAAATTGTACCCCAACGCATTGCAAGGGCACCGGCTATGGGGAAGCAAGCCTTGAGGGGTGTGTGTGTGGCTGTAGAGCTATGAAGCATGATGATTCTGTTGCAACAATTCTTGGAACACCTCACTCAGCTTTAGGAGCAACTTTCTCACCAGAACGGCCTCTTTCAGCACTGGGCAGTTTTTGGCTTGGTGTGAGCTGGGAACTCTGCCAAGATGAATGCTGTTAAAACTCCCCATAACGTCAGTGGATGTTCCCCCCCAAAAAACAAAACCCTTCTGCTAGATCTTAATTGAATTCATCTATGGGGATTTTCCACCCTCTCCCCCAGACTCAGACATTCCTTCCCCAATTTTCTCTTTCTTTGCCTGTCCAATATCTCATAACCATGCTGATCGAAACTTTAATATCCTTTTTCCTGTGCGGGATTATGCTCTCCAGCAGCCCAACTGCAGCTGTTTGCTTCCCTGACTTGCCTCCTCCCTTTGTTTCCCCTCCCCTCCTTTTGTTGCTAAGTTGCCATTTTCTCTCACAAAGATCACTGCAAATCCTGCAATGTTCTTTGGCCGTACTACGTTTTCCAGTTGTTCGCTCCCTTTTCAAATCATGGGCTCATGGAGTTGGAAGGGGCCCGTAAGGCCATCAAGTCCAACCCCCTGATCAAGGCAGGGATCCAAACCAAAGTAGATCAGACAGATGGTGGTCTAATGCTCATACTGAAGTGAGAAAGGAAGAGGGCCAAGGAGGGTCCCGTGGAATCAAACAAATCCATTTTATCTGACAGCTTCTCCTCCGGTTAATCAGATGTCTCTGGAAGTCTCATGGGGTTAGATGTAATGTATTAATTATGTATTATACATTTGCGTTTTGGCAGCACTCTCCATAATTCATCTTTTGGTGGTGAAAAGGTTTTGCCTGTGTATGTGTGGACCACAAAGGTACTACAGTAGGACCACCGTATCCGTGGGGAAGTTCCAAGCACGCATACGCCTTGTAGATGCTGGAAAAGACGGATTATAGTGAACACTTTTAATCGCAAATGCTATATGTACCATGGTCTCTCACTCCCTCGAGTGCCCAGTTCTGTAACTTCATCTTCTGAAATATATTTTTCTGGGATTCTTCTTTTAGTAGTTTTAATTAATTAAAAATGTTTTTCCCCTCCCCCAGCTTTCTCCTTAAAAAGGACCCCAGACAACTTCCATCACTGAAAGACAATATTTAAAGCAAAAAACAAACATACAACCCCCAAAACAAAACCCCAATGAGCATACAAAGGTGGCTTACCGATTTTTCAGGCCATGGACCAGTGAGTCAGCAGAGATTGATCCTGTGCCTATGGGGGTCCTGTTGTACCTGTAGTGCTAGGGGATAGGTTTTGAAGCCTTGAAAGAGAGCAACTTCAAAAGGGAGTTAAACAGGTGGGAAGAGACATGTGCCAGAGCGGTAAGGATCCTGCCCTCAAGGAGAGAGCAATGGCTTGGGCGTTGTCTAGGGTTCCCCTTACTCCTCTTCTTGAGGCATCTTGAATGGCAGCTGCCCAGCTCTTTGGGTACCGTTTCGCATCGATTCCAAAAATTACTATTTTTCCTCCAAAATTATTACTGTTTTTAAAAAATGAATCCTAGAAGTGTAGTCTAACTTCTGTCTGTGTAGGGAATCAGTCGCTCAAGCAGCTTGGGCAGATGGTCAGCCAGCCTCTGTTTAAAAACCACCACCGAAGGAGAATCCAGCCCTTTCCCAAGCAATCCGTTCCCCTGTCAAAACAGCTCCATTGTCATCCTTGGCAATGTTTAGCTGGAGTCACCCTGTCTTGAAATCTCCTTGGATGAGGGCCGTGGAGCAGCCCCCTGACTCGGCCCGTGGTTGAATCCAGGGTGCAACCATCCTCTCTCCTTTTTCTGTTGACATTGTGAGCCAATCCTTGTCCAGATCTGTGACAATATTTGTGCATTTCCAGATCCGCAAGGGGGGGGAAGCATTCCTGCAAATAGGGGTTAATGCAAACAGCTGTGATCTGGGATGAGAGTAAAGGATACACAGAGCTGTTCGTTTCAGGGATGTGGTGGACGGGAGAGTTTTTCATCTGCTCCCAAGCATCCTTTTTGGCTCAAAGGCCAGCTGGCAGTGGGATCTGTACCAAAAAAAGAAGAAGAAGAAAAGCCTTCATTGATAAAAGACTAACTAAGCTAGGTAAGGAAGATAAAGAAAAATTGTACCGCAGAAATCCTAACTCACAGCGGTGGTGTGGATCTTTTGCTTTGCCCCACAACCCGTGAGAATCCCCTGGTGAAGCAACTGCATGGGGGTGTGTCTCGTGTGTAAGGCTGGTACTTTGCATTTAATGGACTTTCTCCTCCATTTATTACATACATACATACATAGGCATCCTTCAGTCTCGAGAGACTATGGTAACATGCTCTGAATCGAGGAGTGTCCTCTCCAGAGCATGAAGCCTGGTCAAAGTAATATGGAGGATAGGCTGTTACCCAAGCAGCAGATCCCCCCTCTCCATGTTGCTGAAATGGTCCAGTGGAAAGGCAAGAGCCAATACAACTGGTTCCAGCAACGTCGCAGGAGTTGGCAGAACAACACAAACTGCCTTCAGGACTCCAGCTCTGATTATTTCTCCTCCATAAGTCAGCAGGAATTCTCCAAGCTGAATTATGGAAATACAAATCCCAAAACAGCAGGAGAGGAACCGCCTCTTTGCCCCTGTTTGGTTCCCAGCTGCTCCTCTTCTGGGAAGTAGATCTCTGGGAATCACGGGGTTCCTTGAGACTTTCAACGAGGGACGGGGAGGGTGGGTTCTGGCAGAGGCTGCCTCCACGAGAGTGTAGGGAGTACCTGCTTTTCATCAGGCCAGGTCTGAGAATCCATCTCGCCTGGAATAGATGGTTATGTTCTGATGGGCAATGCCAACTGGATAGCTCAGTGAGTTAGACCTCTGGCGGTGGAGCCAGAGGTTGGGAGGTTCCACTGTTGACTCCTGCGAGTGGAGCCAACCGGGGCAGCCTTGGGCCAGCTGCACAGTGATCCCAGGGCACCCCCAGAAGGAGGGACCAGTAAGCCACTTCTAAGTATTCTCTACTTGGAAAAACCCTAGAAAAAATGGGTTGCCA